GTAAACGGCCCCTTCATATCCACAGCCACCTGGAGATGCAGTCGCTGGGTCATAGAATGAAAAGCCTCACTAGATTCCGCAGTGTTGCTCTCCACTCTGCGTTCATGTGCTCACCCGCAGTCATAGAGCTCAAATCTCCTTCACATCATCCCCACAAGTCATGTTGTTATACTTTTTGATTTTGTCCAGTGAGATAACTTAGCATTTTCATTTGCATTTCCCCAGTACTAGTGAGGCGGAACATCTCCTCCATGAACTCTCTATTCACACACATTACCTACGTCTGTCCTTCTCCCTAGTGTTCTGTATGTACTGTGAACACTGCTGTCAGTTACATGTTCTTAACTAGCTCTGTCTCAATCTGTAGCATCTCCTGTGCTTTTTTTAAAAAGTCAACAATTGAACTTTTTAATACAGAAGTTCTTGCTGGCAGTGTAGTTATTTCTAGTCGCTGTTTTCCTCGTGGACTATGCTTTATATGTTCATCTTAGAAATCCTTTCTTTCGGGGCTGGGGATTTAGCTCAGCGGCAAAGCGCTTGCCTGGCAAGCGCAAGGTCGTGAGCTCGGTTCCTGGTACCGGGAAAAAAAAAAAAAAGAAATCCTTTCTTTCCCAAAGGCATAAAAATATTTTCTTATCCCACAAGTTTTAGTGGTTTAGGTTTCCATGTGGAAATCCTTCGTCTTATTCTTGTGCATGGTGTGAGGCAAACGTCTAATTTGTCTTTTTCCGTGCCTGCAGCCAGTCGTCGCAGTCCTGGTAAACGGTCACTTCTTTCCTGCTCTCCTCAGCGCCCTCGCCATTGCTACCGTGCATGCCACATTTACTTCTGATTTCTGCACTCTGCTGTTTCTTCAGACTGGGTGCCTGTCTTATGTTAATGCCATACTACCACAGTGTAATCATAGGTCTTAACAGCTAGTAGAGAATCCTTCTTGATTATGTCTTCGAAATAATTCCTGCCTGCCCTCCATACCCCAGTGCTAGGGATGGATCCCAGGGCCTCTTGCCCTACCTACTTCACAAGGATAATTGAGATAAAATGAATGCAAGGCTGGAAAAATAGTATTATGGTTTGTGTCTAGATGCCCCTCCCAAAGCCTCGTGCAGTCATGGGGCAGGCTTCTAGAGTCTGAGATTGATTCATGGTGCATTGCTGGGATTATGAGTGTGAGAGCTACACCTGCCCTAGGGCGGTAGCCTGCATACAGTCTAAGGGAGGGAAAGAGGCTTGCTCTCTTGCTCTTCCCCTTTTGCTCTTGTTGCTTTTGCTATTTTCTGCTGCTGTGAACTGTTACCCTCTGTTATGTGCTGCTCTGCCTTGGAGCCAGCCAGGTATGGACTGAAACTTCCACAAACTGTGAGCTAAATAAACCTTTCCTTCCCTAATTTTGAGTGTCAGGTATTTTGTCCTAGAAATGACAGAAAAATAACTAAGATAAATACTTTGATGGAAAAACACTGTATAATTTTACCCATAAACTATAATTGTCCCTGATACATAGCTGATTCCCCTTCTCATCCCGGCTTGTGTGTGTGCCCAGAATATTATGTTACTTGTCTCTATTAGTTGAGCAACTACATAAGGCAAACCAACAGTGTGGTCCTGTTTAAGGTTATATAAATTATAATCAGGGTAACTGCATTATTAAGCAACTTGAGCTACACAAAGGGTAATGAGCAACGAGGACCCACTAAAGCACATAGCAGAGTAAGGCAACACTACCGGATAGGGCGTGATCGCATAGAAGGAAAGTGAGCACTGGCAAACACATAATGATCACACAAAGTGGTGGCAAGGAAGTGTACTTGTTCTGCATTCTGTAAACAAGAGCAGAAGACTCATGGGAGCCCATGCAGAAGCACCATATGTCACACTGTTGCCTACAGGGAACATAAACAGTATCATCTTCACTGTAAAGAACTATTGTACCTGTGTTCACTTCCGGAACTAAACCAAGGGACAGCTCCATATCAAACTTTCTATGTAAAATGCAACCCATACGACTGTTCCAAATCAGTCTAACAGGTAGAGTGTCTTTCAAGGTAATGAATTAGACGGCTGTTCAGGTTTCTTTCAGGATTTACTTTGCATTCTCCTGCTTAAGACCCCAAAAAAGTTATATTGAGTTTCTAATGATCATTCTAAGTATGTTTATAACATGTAAAGTGTGATAGATGAATTTAATATATTAATAACATTAAAATTTTGTAGCACCTGTTCAGAAAAGATTACATACAAGTACCTATTCAGCACACTTCTCCTGAGGTGCTTCATACTGAGCAAGCTTTGCTTTGAGTTTTTAATTTTCATCTACAGTAGCTTCATTTCTGCCAATTCTTAGTAAAGCAGCTCAGTTTCCAGATATTCTGGGGTAGCAGCTCCTAAGTGATGCTTTAAAAAAGCCAAAGCACTATGAGGTTTCTCTGGTTCTTCACAAAGGCTGCCAGCACCTTGTCAGTGTAGCTGGAAACCCTGACTTCTCCAGGTTCCTCCAGAACCCTTGTGCTTCAGCGGCAGTGTGGGATAGGCCGTGACGACGGGCCCCTGCCCTTTGGATTTTGAGAAAAGGCCTCACCAAGTTGCCCAGGCTGGCCTCGAACTTTCAGTCATGCCTCGGCCTCCCAAACAGCTGGTCTTACAGTCTTGTGCCACCACACCCAGCTTCTTTCTCATTTCTTTAGGTTGTTATTTTCTCAGACTTCTTAAATTAGGTGTAATTAACTCTACTTTGCAGTCTTCTTCTGTACTGTATTTAAGCTTGGTATTTTTCTAATTACATTAACTACTTAATTACATTCCATAAACTGATAGGTATATTGTATTTAATTCCCATGTGATTGTTTTGCTTTGATTTGCAATGTGTAAATTTTGTTTCAGTTATCATTTTGATACTGATTTCTAATTTAATTTCATTATGGTCAGAGAATATAATGTGTATAATGTTTATGTTTTGGTATGTGTGGATATCTTATATGGGACCTAGTATACAGTAGCTTTTACAAATATTTTGTGTATAGTGGACATATATTCTGTAGGCTTTATATATGTAGGTGACAGGTGTTAGAGTATTTATGTTTTAAATGGTTATTTTTGTGTGCCTCATCAATTAATGAGTTGTATGCAGAAATTGAATGTATGAATATTTCCATTTCTCTTGTAATATTGTTCACTTTTGCTTGCTATATTTTGATGCTGTCATGATATATATAAGTACAGTGTTGATACAGTATACAGATTTTATCCCTAATCTTGTCTTTCTTGCCCTTGAGGTATATTTATTTGCATAAATATAGCAATAACAGCTTTCTTCGATTAGAGTTTCCATAATATTTTTTTCCATCTCTCTGCATTAATTTATTTTATATCTTGATTTTAGACTTGCCCAGAGTGGGGAGGCCTAGGGATAGTTTCAGTTTCCCTAGAGTTTTTTAATTTTTCCTAAATCCATCTGAGTTTTCTCATAATTCTTTGTTCTTTTCTTATGTCCACCTTGTATATATCTTAGCTGTAAAAGTTCTAATTTTATAATCATTTTTCCAATCATTCTCCTGGTGTACAAGTCCTCAGGGGGCTTGTTGGACATGCTGACTCTTGCTGAGGGTGTTTCCTTGCGGATTTTGTCATTTCGGATTCTGGATCATTTCCACCAGACCTTCACCTATAACGCCAGTGCAGCCCGGGGTCAAGAGAGGATCTCTCCAGAGTAACTTTGCATTCGCCTCTGCTTGGCTCCTTAGAGCCATCCATCTCCATTGCAGGACCAGTTTGTGTGTAACTTTCTGATGGGTTCAGAGACCTGTGTGTTACGACAGTGTAACTTGAACCTCAAATTTGCCTCCAGCTCGCAGTTGCCGCGCAGGATCAAGACCCCTGCCCCTCCCCGGAGGAGGATGGGGTTTCATCTTGCTCATCCTGCCCTTCGCTGAGGCACCTCAGTTAAAGGTTGTGTGTTTAGGTGGATAACTGAGCACGGGGGCGTTACTTCTTTCAAGCCCAGGCGGTCCTGCGCAAGCGGGGCCCGGGCTCTGCCATCCAGCTGCAGCCCTGGCAGCTTGTGTGAACCTGCCCTGGTTCTCAGCGTTTCCTTGTTTCTGCTACCTTGGCGCTTCCGTGTCTTATTTTTGTGTTCAGCTCTGAATACAAAATATTCTTAAATATTTTATCTAGCAATTCTAACTCTATAATTAGAAGATTTTCAAGTTATCTTAATATGTAATTTTGCCAGAACTAATTCAAAGATTATAACATAGCCAAAAACATGGACACATTCAAACACAATATGTTTCTCTTCGTGTGGTCACTTTTTTCAGTGATGACAAGGGCTAAGCAAGAACCGGCATCCCCATCAGTCCGAGGCACCCCAGGGCCGCTCCAAGAGAACTATTGCTTCGTGTTTCTTGCTTCCTTAATTCTTTTATTAGTTCGCGTGTGCAGTGCTTAATGATACCACTCACCACGTGGAGCTGTTCACAAAACGTCCCTCGCTAGCCTGCTGCTGAGCCCAAGTTTTGTTGTAACCCGCGGTCTCCTTCCCCAAGCACACTCACAATGAAATAAACAGAAGAGGAGGGCCGTGAAAGAGGCGCCTTCACCTGGCTGCAAGCCCAGCGCCTGGCTCCCTGTGAAGTAGCCTCCTTTCCTCGTCCTCTTCCTCCACACCCAGTGAGGCCCTGAGCTCCAAGAGCGGAGCGCCCTTGGGCAAGGTCAGTGAGACGCAACGGGCTGAGATTAGGCGTGCCGGATGTGTCTCTCACCAGCTTCTGTACCCAGGTGTACAACCAACTTTGCTAGTGCCTGTCACCTTCCTTCCCCTGTGTACCCACCACAGGCTGCCAGTTTTACCTGGTTGACTGAGGGGGCTAGAGCTGCTGGCCTCGCGTGGAGCAGTCCAGCCTTGCCCTTCCCAGTCCCGAGGTGTGGCTGCCTTGTAAGAAAACTCCTCAGGCAGTCGGATGGCCCGTCTCCTTCTCTGATAACTGTTGTTGCTCTCTTTTTAGGGAGGCATGATCAACTGGAACCGTCTTTTCCCTCCTCTGCGCCAGCGACGAAATATAAACTACCAGGACGGCCGGCAGTCCGAGCAGCAAGCCTCCCCTCCTCTGGAGGTTTCCGAGGAGCAGGTAAAATCAGTAGCACACGGCGCCCACCTTAAAGCCAGCCCCAGACTTAAGGCAGTTTTGGCCTGTGAGAAATCCAAGCTTGATTTTGAAAGAATAAAGCATATCAACTTGAAGACTTTGACAGCAGTTGTCACCAGTGATAGTGACTTTAGGCTTTTATTAGCTGCTGTGACTCTTGCTGTGGGGTTGAGGAAAGCATAATTTGAGTGGGGAAAGTGCTTGGTATTGGCTTATTTTAAAGTCTGGTATACTTTATGTAGACAAGACATTAGAAAAGTTGGTTCCTGACAGAGGATGGAGAGGAATGGAAGGATGGGGAGAGAATGCCACCTTTGGCATATAGTCTTTTTTTTTGTCTTTTTGAGAGAGGGTCTCGCTGTGCAGTTCAGGCTGGCCCTGAGCTCATTTTGTAGCCCAGGCTGGCCTTGAACTCGCAACAATCCTCCTGCCTCAGCCTCCTGAGTGCTGGGATTATAGGCGTGCGCCACCACGCCTGGCCAGCATATAGTTTTGACCTTTATGATTTTAAATCATGTTAATGTTTTACATAGTTAAACAGCAAATCATCAAGAACAGGGGCTGTGTCAGCTGTTTTGTTTCGTTGCAACCATCATAGTAGAAGTCAATTCAGTGAAGAATTAGATGAATTTATCATATATGAAGCCCAGGCTGTTTATATACTCTCAAAATATCTCTCCATCCACAAGCTACTTACTAATTACAAAAGGAAAGTAGTGTTGTGTAGTGAGGAATTGGACACCACCCTACCCAGGCTTTTAGAGATGGCTCAGAAACAGTTTGAGCATGTGTGAGTGTGTGTACAGAGAAACACAGAGAAAGCAGCTTGGCAAAATAAAAGTTGTTCAGTCCTGGTGAAGAGTAAGCAGAGGTTCTTGGTTTTGTTCTGGAAAGTCACTTCAAACTAAAAAAAATCTGTACAGTCTATAAAAGCATGTACAGAACACTGCAGTGATGACACTTTGAGGTTTCTGTCTGCCTGTGTTTTCTTCTGAGCAACAACATTTCACAGCTGGCCACACCATCCAGGCCACCACCTCCCCCTCCGTTCCCAGAATAAACAAAAGCCAGTGTGACGCAGAGGCCTGTCGGCAAAACTGTGTCTTTCTGTTTTGTGGAACTGCGGCCCATGGATTAGCTACGCCACAGGTTCTGAGAGGAACTCAAATGAGCCTGGTGAGTGGGAGCAGCCCCTCAGCCTCATGTCTCAGCCCAGCTGGCGCCCCAGCCACTGCTCAAGGCTGGGGGGCCCCTCTTCCACCTCCAATAGAGGAGTTTTAGCAGATGTTACCCCAGGGGTAAGGAGAAAAAGCCCAGCAACTTGGCATTTTGGAAGATCTTTGTAGCAACAATACAAAGTAAGAAATAGTCTCAAATCCACAAAGAAATATCAAAATTCTGTTTACCTGATCTGACAGTGAGTCACATGCTTCACAGGGCAGCTGTTAGTGATATGAGACATTTACAGGTGAGATATTGCTTGGTTTTGGCTCGTTGGGAAAAAAAAAGTGTCAAAAAGGGTGAACAAGGAGATTGGATATGATTGAAGTCTTTAGGGGTTTTTTAAAAAATGAATCATTTGCCCTTGATCCTCCCAGAATGACAACAGTGAGGTTAATGTGTTGTCAGTATCGGTTTAAAGTGGCATTAACTTCTTTCTTACTCTGTGTTGTGAGAGGATATAACCTTCAAAAGAGGTTGTTTTTAACACACACTTTCTTATTCACTGATTCTAAATCTCATTTTTTGTGGTTCTCGATTATCCTGAAAATGACAGTTACCAAGCATCACAGCATTACAGACACAGGGTTCTCATGGGCGTTATTTATATGCACCGTTGGCATTTCTTATGGAAGGTGCTGCAGAGATTGTAAAAAATACGGTTTTGCTGTCAAGATGTTTACAATGAAGTTAAGAGTTATAGTTAATATATGATCTCTCTGTTAGCTACAAGTAAAATATTTGTTAACATATGAAGTTAGTTTTAACTAACTTTTTATCCTTAATTTTTCAGTTCAACGTACTTGTTTTCTTTAAGTATCAGAGTCGTATTTTGTTTCGTTTCACAGTACTGGGGATCCAACCTAAGGCCTCTCCCATGCTAGGAAAGCTCTGTACCACTGAGCGTCATCCCCAGCTCAGAAGTCATGCAGTTTTAGGTGTTAAAGAAAGTTGGTGCTTTTCTAACAGCCCCCGAATAAGTGCTTATTTGAGCTTTTTCAGATATAAGTCTACACTTCAGGAATTTTAGTGGGTGTTGAAAGAGAACCTAGCAGGCCATTAATTTGCAAACAGAATATTCTAGAGTATATCCTTTAATAACTACAGTTTACCATATGGCTGTAGACATTTGCTACTTTCTCTACTTTGCTATTTTTTAAGATTCTGTATTTTTCATTCTTTAAAATCACTCCTAATGGAATGAGAAAAAGGAAGCATTCTTTAAGCAAAAGGAAAAAGAGAAAATAAATGAGGAAAGGAAGAACTGAAGAGAGCTGAGAAAAACCGTAAGAGAAGCAAGCCACCAATGAATAAAAGCACTCCGGTTTCCCAGTGAGTTGGTCCATGGCCATCACCACCTCTTGGAGATGCTATTCTTGCCCTTTGGAAAGGCCCAGAAGGCGGCTTCTAGGAGGCAGGTAGGGCAGCCGAGAGCCGAGCCACACCCAGTGTGGCTCACAAACCGTCTCCAGGGCAGGAAGCAACCCCAGGGGACAAGGGCAATGTGTCCTCCCAGCCTTGTTTGCGTGGACGTGCCAGGAAGAACATAAGAAGACCCTGAGGCCCCTGTCCCTGCACAGCTCTGGAGAGAAGTGCTCTGAAGAGGGTAGACAACACGAGAGAGAGAGAGAAGGCTGACCCTGATGGAATGGCAAAGGCACGCCATGATGGAGAGTGAAGGCTTCCGCCTGCTTAGGGAGGGGAGAAAGATCTAAGATCCCCAGGCGGCCTGATTCACCCTGTTCTGTTCAGAGCCTGCCCCAAGATCAAACCCGCAAAACCGGGGCTATCTGTTGGAGACACGGCAACCCGCAGAGTGGCTGTGGAACAGCAAGGGACAGCAAGAAGCGCCACATCTACCGCAAAGTGAATGGCTCCGGGGGGGCCACCGAAGTGTCCCGGAGACTGGTGGAGGCGAGGGTGACGAGGAGGAGAATGGATTCAAAATTGTGCATGTGTCAGAAGAGAGTGAGCAGGAGAATGGGCCCAAGCCAAGGGCTCGCTGTAAATTTCATAGTAACCAAATGGGCTCAAGTGTCTGCTGTCTTTAAAACAAATATATCCTTTATTCCATTTATCCCTTTTCTTCTTTTTAGTCAGGTATTTTTACTCTGAATTAACAAATGGTAACGTTTTGTCATATTTGCTTCTGATTCTTTGTAAACCAAAGGAGGGGAAATTATCATCTGTCTCTTTTGAACCCTCCTTAAGTTTAAACAGTGACTATTGTGTCCGGTGAGATGAGACAAGGAAGTTAAACAGGACTAAAGCAAAGCTAGGACTTCATGAAAAGAAGACAGATTTCCACTTCCTGCCTGCCACTCCTGTCTGTCCTTCCTTCTGGTCAGCCGACAGCTAACACTGCCTTCTGTTTTCCACACCCAGCACTGTGCTAGGTCCTCACAGCACTGAGGAAGGAGGGTGGAATTTCCCACCCCGGCGGAGCTGGGGGCCCAGGGCAGGGAGGCCAGCCCAGAAGCAGCTTGGCAGAGATGCACAGGCTGTTAAAACGGTGCTGTGAGGGCCAGGTGGTGGCCTTCCTGGGAAAGGGGCTCAGGGAAGGTTTGTGAGACATGGTTAGTCACAAGGGGTGAGGTTGGCATGGAGCGTGGCCGGCAGGGCAGGCACTGCCTGGGCAGGAAGCAGAATAGGCCCACCAAAGCCTGAGGTTTGGGCATGGATTCTGCCATTAGGCTGCAGCACTAGGACCCATGGCTGGATTTGAAATAGGAAAGGAAGTCATCCTGGTCCTCTGGAGGAAAGCTGGACATGGAGGAGAGGGGGTCAGACATAACCGTGGATGTCCTTTCTCCCCTCCCAGCCCAGGATAACGGTGCACCTGGGTACATGGCAGACTCCAGTCAAGCTATGTTAACATCTGATGCATTAATGAAACATTTATAATGCAGGACAGGTCAAATGGGTTCCACTTATGTCCTCTACGATTTCCTTTAGTGCAAGCAGAGAGAGAATGGCTTTTAAGTCCACAGAACGCTCCCGGTCTCAGCTGATAAATCAGCCAAGCATTAGAGAATCTAAGTCTTCTCAACCCCGGCATCCTTAGAGAGTCTCAGAAAACCACCTAAGCTCTAGAAGATTCTGCTGCAGAAGGCAGAGCCCTCACTAATACTAACTAGCTTGTCTTGAGGTGCACCCTGGGCTTCTGCCCTGGATGTTTATATTTGCAGTGAGCGGGTCATTGGTTGACACCTTACGTAGTGTCTGTTCCCCAGTGCACAGGTGTCCCGGCTGTGGTGGTGGGCAGAGGTGTGCCCCGAGGGCTTCGCTTCAGTGGTGCTGTGTCAGTCCCTCCCTTCCCTAATGCTAGGCCATTAGAAAGAGATCTTCTATCAGGACACCCAGGGTAGGTTTGTTACAGTGAAATGTTGACCCCCATCAGACAATTAGCCCAACTTGGGTGGCATGCTAGTCCTGCTGGGTACTTAAAAAGATGTCTACAAGAGCACACCCAGCCTTCACTGAGGACCTGCTGCACACTCTGCACTCTGGATGTGGCAGCCGGGGGCAGAGAAGAGGGGCTGCTGGCACCCCAAGCTGGAGCAAGAGCACGCAAGCTTCCCAGAACCATTCGTTGACTCAGCTGGGAGGTGTGAGAAAGGGGATCCACCATTCTCAGAAGGAGCAGAGAGGTCAGACAAGGAAGGAAGACCTGAAATGCCCTGCAAGACGTTGCCGGGGCTGGGACAGCGTGGGGAGGGGCAGCTGCACCCACAGGTAACAGATGCTGGCTGTACCGGCAGGGAGGTGTCCCCCGCTTATCGCCATGGGCGTGCATGTGGCCTGGGGATCAGGTGGAGGCTGCCATCAGGTAAGCTGCGCTTTCTCCAAGCATCAGAGTTTGGGAAGTAGGAACCCTAAACACCATTTTGACAGCCTTAGCTAAGGGGAAGTTAAAGAAAACCACAGTCTTACTTCAGCAAACTGAGCAGAGGAGTTGTCACTGCGGGGAGTTAGTTGGTCTAAATCTCCCTAGAGTGAGTGTCCCATTTTTACTTGTGGCAGAGGGGAGTAGAAGAGCAAAGTATGGTTTCACTAGTTTTCTTGAAGAAAAAATAATCATGAGATTGCAGAGAGAAATCCCAATTATGGAAGGGTTTTTTTTTTTTAATTTTAAAAAAAAGGAAAACTGGTACAGATTTATCTCCATCTCTGTAGATTTTGTCCTTATTCTGTGTGGACTTGTTTATTGTTTAGAGTTTTTATTGCTTTTTTACCTTTTTCTTTTCTCGCCCTGCTGGGGTGCAAGCCCGGCCTTGCACACGTGGGCAGGCACCAGCCCAGCTGGGTTTTCTAGTGCTGAGGATGGAACCCAGCGCTGTGCCTGCTAAACACGCACTCTAGCCCTGAGCCACACCCCACACCCCACGTGGCCTCCTCTGCAAAGCACGTTAAGGGAAAAGCGTGTTCCACCTCGTCCGTGTGGGAACACTGTCAGCTGACAGTGACAGCGCTCTCAGCAGCCTGTCCCTGTCTGCACCCCCCACCTCAGGTCAGACAGCCACGGAGCTGTGTCACGGAGGCTGTGGGTTCCACTGGCGCCTGTGGTGGGGGCTGGTGACGAAAGGCAGCTGATGGGGAAGCCTTTCACAGACGCATGTTCAACATGCGCCAGAGGAGGCGGGGATGGGTTTGCCTGTCCCCAGTACCCATTGAATCATCTCTGACCCTCTCCTCTGGGAAGTCACAGAAACAGACACTGGAATTTACATTTGGGGAACTTCCATGTCTATGGATAAATACTTGCAGAAGCCTGAACGAGAGTGCTGTGCCTGAGAATTACCCCACTATCGCTGGGTTCTGAGCAAAGGTAGAGAAAACGATGGTTTACCTTTGGGGACTGGAATCCAAGCTGCCCTGTAACCTGATGTTTCGTGTGAGGACTTGAGACAGACTTGTGTGATACCCGAGGAAGGGACGCTCTGTGCTCTGAGCCCAAAAGCAAGTGTTGGAGGAAGGGCTCTGCGGAAAACTCGCAGGGGTTGGGGTCATAACTGTCCCTGGCGGGCTGCTGTCAACCCCACAGGCCACTGCTGACCGAGATGAGCAGCGTGCCAGGGCCTTGCTGTCAGCTCCCCTCGGTCAGAAAATGTGTCTGTCGTGGCATGTATGTGAAGAGTACTGCGTTCTTGGATGTCCCATTTTGTCTTGGAGATATTTGTGCGTCATTTTCGATCAGAAGCCCCACAGGTCCTTAAAGATCGGCCAGCACAAAGCCTGCCCACCCTCACGTCCCGAGGCCCTTTTCTGACCGATGGTGAGCGCTGTGTGTGGCAGGCTCTTCCACGGTGGGAGTGAGACAGATGTGGCCCCAGAGTGGGGCGTGGGGGCCCATCTACCAGAGAACCAGACGCCAGGCACCACGCCAATGGCCCACATGCCGTGACCACCAAGCGCCGTCCTTAAGGTGTCGCAGCACTTCATCCCACACTGTGACAACTTAATTTCAGCTGTCTGTGATGTATTTATATCATCTGGCCCAGCAAGGTCAGTGATTATTCAGTGGAGTTGGGTCTGATCAGCAAAGGTTCTCATGGTTAGACTGATGGTGGCCATCCCAACAGCTGAAGGGCCGAAGGGATGGAAGTAACACTCACCGGGGAAGCTCCTCAGAGGAAAGGGGCACTAGACTCTGAGAGCTGAATGGCAAAATCAGTGTTTGGCATCTAGCAGAGTTTAAACCAGATTTGGCACATAGCGACTTGTGAGCGTCAAAAATATGGTAGTGGTCTGAGAACATCATACTAATCCCATTGACACCAGATGTTACCAAGATGTGTGACAGTGTCTCATTACTTTAAGAAATGTCTGGCTGGGCTACAGAGTGGAAAGGAGCAATAACCTGAAAGGAGTTTGAAACTGGTTGGAAATGTTCATTAAGTGCTAATGCACGGGGAGCTCTGGGCCCTGTCTTTGATCTGGCCTGCCTGATACCATCGTCAGAACTTGAATGAAGTGTAGGTTTGCTGAGCAATTTGGAGGTGACATGAGTTAGAGGGAGATGATTAACCTAACCGATAAGAAAACTAAAACTGAAAATAACTCATTTTGGTTAGCTAGAAAATAGGCAGATGGAATTTGAGAGGGGTACCTTGTCCTGTACCTGGGTCGAGGTAGGATTTGAGAATCTCGCCTCAGAGTATTTCAGGTGAAAATTCCTGAGGCGCTGGCGAGCCCTGCTGACGTGGCCACACAAGTGCAGTTCAGCCTCCTGCACAGGAGCCTTCTTGCACACGTGCATGCACTCATGCACGCACTGATGCACACGCCCTCATAGCAGAACATCCCTGCCTCCCAAGCGTCCCTGTGCTGTAGTCATCAAAGCAAGGCCACAGTGATAAGATGGTGGCCGTCTCACCGCCCCGACCCTGGAAGCTGTGGCGTTACACTCAGTTCCGGACACTGTGTCTTGAGGCGATGTAGCTCAGAAAAGAGGGACTGGGCTGCAAGTGTGGTGGCCTGCGGCTCGGGGACAAGCCGAAGCAGCCAGGGCCCTTATCCTCAGAAGCCTGAGGTCCAGTGGTGGAAGGAGCAGTCCCCCGACAACACAGCCTCAGCGAGGCTGGCGGAGCCCGGCGGGCCTGGAGGCTTCTATGCCGGCTTCCTCCCAGGCCAGGAGATATGGAAATGAGCAGGACAGGTGAAGAGCCATCAGCAGATGAGGGCAAAGGGGAGAGCCCCCGGGGCAGAGAGGACTACACGCACACGGTGCCGGGCAGGCCCCAGGAGCGTGAGCCCGGAGCCAGAGGGCAGGAGGACAGAAAGGGAATGGGGAGGGAATGTGACCAGCTGCCCTCAGCCTGCTTCACAGAGCAGGGAGGAGGCTGCCTCCTGCCACTGCGGAGGGCCAAGTGCAGACCTAGGAGCTGGGTGGGAGGAAGAACTTGCCACAGAGATCCTGGAGGCCTCCACCCTGCAGCCGGGGCAGTGAGGGAAGAGTCTCCCGCCAAGGCTGACTCCTGGAAAAGGGGAGCCCTTCCTGGAGAGAGAGACAAAGGGAGAGGACGCCTGTGCTCTCTCCCACTCCACCGAACCTTGGGAGCTGCGCGAATGAACTGCAGTGCCCCTCACCCTGGCTCTTCGGAGGTCTTTGGAGAGCACCATGGTGGCCTTCATTCCACTGCCACGGTGGAAGTGCAGCCCACAACGTGCGTCCGTGTGTGTGTGCGCGCGCATGCAGGAACACCCTCGCTACTACTGCATTGTAAATCCTCGTCTCAGCCCAGTGTGGTTCAGGACCCACCAGTGAGATGGATGATACTTTCTGTTTCAGAACACACCAGCTGCAACTCCAGTTTCTGAGAAGTGTGTGTCTGCGCTTCCTCCCTAATCTTACCTTAAAGCTCTGAGGGATGAGAGAATGAGGGTCAGCGAAGGTCACCTCCCCCGCACCATCTCCTTGCTGAGGCCCTGAGCTCATGGGCCTTGCCAGTCTCCTCGGCTCCGCCCATCACGGAGGCTGCACCTACCTCAGAGGCCCTGCCCATCGTTGGCACCGCCTCCAGCCATCCTCCTCCCTCCACACACACCGGGGTCCCCTGAGCAGGCTTGGACAGGCAGTATTGGAACCATTCCCTTTCCACACATACTACTGGGTGCATTTCTTCCTATCAGAAAGAAAATTTTAAAGATGAGTCACCAGGTCAGTTCACAAAGTCTCTTTAATGTATCTGTCACTGAAAATCTCAACATTTATGAGGGTATCTTTTTTTGTTGTATATTATTACAAATGTATATTGTAATACAAGTTCAAAAAGTATATTCCTGTAGCTAGTCAAGGCCATAGATATTTTTATCATCCATTCTTCATTGGGAAAGGAGGTTATGTTTTGTTTTGTTTTGTTTTTGTTGTTTTTTGGTACCGGGAATTGAACTCAGGACCTTGCACTTACCAGGCAGGCACTTGTGCCACTGAGCTATATCCCCAGTCCCTTGGAAAAGGAGGTTATGAATAAATTCTAGAAACACTGCCTGTTTCAACATTGGACATTTACTGTGTGCAGACGCACAGGAAACTGCCCTATTTGCAGAACCAGGATTTGTGGGCTGCTCAAGCCTGGTGTTTCCCCACCTGGTGGCTTTAGGCCACCTCTGTCCTCAGCTACCTCTGTTGCCTCTGCCCTTTGCACGTGGCCAGGGGACAGCGCTTCAGGTCATCCCGCCAGCAGCGTCAAGAGTAAAACTCCATCATGCAGTTTGCACATATGGATCAGTTCTTGGCTTCCAGATGTGACACAGGGCTGTGTGGCAGTGGTGCGCTCCAGCTGTTTACGCTGACCTGCTCTCAAGGCCTAGCCCCAGCAGCCACATGACCCCAGGACCCCCTTTCATCTGCTAAATGGGCGTTACATGAGAAAATGCATATTTACAGGCCTCCTACAGCAAGCATTGAATAGTTTGTCTCTAATTGTTTTAAAATATGAGCTTTCACACTGAAATGCAAATTAGTTTTGGTTTTTAGCAAGTTAGGCTTTTCCCACAAATCTCAGCATGAAACTTGCACTGGAGGATAAGTAGCAATATTATAGCCCCTCACATTCCTGCTTCCTCTGCCCCCAGGTTGCCCGGCTCATGGAGATGGGATTTTCCAGAGGCGATGCGTTAGAAGCCCTGCGAGCTTCAAATAATGACCTTAATGTGGCCACCAATTTCCTGCTGCAGCACTGACGGTCCAGCCCAGCCGCCGGAGGACAGTGGCGCCGTCCCCGGCCAAGCAGGCTCTGGCGCCGATTCGCTCGTGGAGAGATGGTGGTCCTTAACTCCAAGTTGGTTACCATTATAGTATCAGAATAAGTTTGCCATTAAATTAGCATGTATTTTCTATCTTTATTTTTTTATTGGGCATTTTCCTTGGTTTGGAGAATCCTCATTCATTCCTACTGTGTTCAGAAGCGTTGAAATCGCAGATGTCTGCGGCAGCCACGTGACTCTCAGGATGGGCCTCACTGCCGTTGTCACGCTCCTCACCTCACTGCGGTGCCCGAGCCACAGGCCGCCTGATCATCAGGCGTGACGGGAGGGGCACTGCCACTTCAGAAAGGACGTGTCACATTGCTCTCTGTGGACTTTTTTAGTCACTGCTTTTTTCCCCAGCATTGTGTTCCCATCCCTTGGCTTCCCAGGGGCCGTGCAGTCTCCACCAGGCCTCGGGGACGGAGAAGCAGAAGCTTGGCCTGCTCTACTCCGGTCTGGTCTATTCCAGGCCAGGGGATTTCCCGACTCCTTCCCCCACTTCCATTCAGAATAATGGTAATAACCAAGTTCAGACTGGAGGTTCTGGAAGACTCCGTTGACAGCTGGGGTTAATTTTGCTCAAAAATCCAGAATTAGCCACCACTCAGGCCTAGGGGGAAGTAGAACTGAGAGAAGAGCTGCTTCCTGGAATCTGGCAGAATTTGACCAGATTGTGCAGTGAAGGCTTCTCCGGGTTCAGCCCCACAGAGAAGGAAAGGCTCGCCCACCGCCATCCCCGATGCGGGGCTCCCCTGGCCCGGGCCTGTCTCCGCGGCGGTGCAAGGCAGAGGCACCGCAGAGGCACGGCCAGGGAGAAGGCGACAGGCTCAGGGGCCCCCTGCGGGCGTACACAGCTCTGGAGCGAGTTGATGATTACAATGTCAGCAAATTGTGCGACTAGTGCGTTCCTCGAAAAGAGCAGCAATGTATCAAATTGATGCAAATTTAGATGTGTGATACTTCAATAAAGTTTTTAATGTGTTTTACTTTTCCGTATTTGTTATTAGACTTCTCTAAGTAAAAGTTCATTCTAGGCATTTCCATCAGAGAGGGGAAAGGCCAGACCACTCCTTTCTGCAGAAGGCCGGGAGCTTCCTAGATCAGCTGCAGTACTTCTGGCCCATGATGAGCACAGCTGTGTCCCTGTGTCACCTGCCACGGCGGGGGGTCACTGTGCCAAAGCCTGCAGCCTCGGGCTTCAGCAAGCTTCACGCTGCGCAGGGCCACCGGGCTGCTCAGAATGAGGTTGGGGTGACGGGAGCCCAGCTGGTCCCACGCATCCGACCGGACTTGAGCATGCGTTTTCCTAGCGGGCTCATGTGGAACAGCAGGTAGTCATGGAGACGGCCACCTTCGCTCACTGAGCAGGGCACAGCCGGGGTGAAACCCACACCCTGTGCCTCCCAAGGCCAAGAGCAGCTGCGCTCAAACACAAGCACGTGCTGCAGCCCTTGTCGCCTTCCCGTAGCTCCACACACGTGAGACCCGCCACAGGCAGTGTCCTCCCCTCCCGGAGTGGGGAGCCGGTAGCCCACGAAAAGCTCACAACTGCAAAGGTTTGCGTGTGCCTGCCTGAGTGTGATCACATTTCAGATCTCCTTGGCGACCCTCTGGGTCACTGCAGAGAGCAGAGACTTGAGGACTGAACTGGGGCACAGCAATGCAGTGCCTCAGGGCTTCTCCCCCACTCATGGCTACTTCACCCCCCTCGGTGGCCCATCCTTGCCCTGCACTGCCAGCCTTGTCCCTCCACTGCCACCCCTGATCGTGACAGACGCCTGCCTTCCCACTCCCACACACACCTGCAGTGCCTTCCTGGGGTCCTTGTGCTGCCCGCCCTGCTTCCTGCGGGGACCAACACAAACCAGCTGCCTGGCACAAGACCCGGAATACCCGAGAACACCCACACCTCTTGGCAGGAGCCCCGAAGCCTTTCCGGCTGGAGGCACCTCCATACGAAGACCTTGCCTAGTGACACACACCAGAGGGGGGCATCAGTGAGCCATTTGAGTCAGTTTCCCAAGCTCTAGAAAAGATTCAGGCTTTTGAGTTTACGCAGATGGTAACTGACTGGGTTTTGTTTTCAAACAAGTAGATTCCAGACTTAAATGCGAAAAGAAGAGGGGAAAATATCTAGCAAATAGCCCTTCTGAGAGTAAAGAGAGCCTGCCTTGGGAGGGGGGACCCGGGAGGTGAAGGATGAAGCTGTGGGTGCATCCCAGTGACCTTTAGGGTGTTTTCTGGGTCCCTACAGTTACTCTTCACTGAAATGGCAGTATCTAAAACCCTAAACTTCAGACTTACTTTAAACAGCAAGATTAAATTATACATAATGTGTGAGAATCAGGCTCTGTCCTCCACAGTCCCCTACTGACACTGTTTCTGTAAAGGGAAGGACCAACAGCGCCAGACAGATTGGGCTCAGACTAAAACCTGAGTTCTGAAAGTGAAATCGCCCATGTGAGAAGAATAGCCAGAGTCATGTGAATTTCTAACCTGCTCAGTATAGCTGTGTCTAAGGGAGAAACAACCACAAGAGCGAAGTTTTGGTGATGCCTCATGAGAGCTGGGATTCAGACAGAGAAGGGCTGGGGTGGTTTGGGCTGGGACAGTGGCCAGCAGAGATGGAAGCTGACCTGAAAAGAGGCGGGTTGGAGGGCGACACGGGCTGCTCTGGGGACAAGGGAGGAAGCGAGAGGAAGGAGAGGTGATGGGCTCATCGGGCCAGCTGGCACCTGGAGGAACCAGCGGAAGGCAGCACAATCAGGGAGCTGAGAGTGTCTGGGAGCACAGGGGCCCCGGGGCGGCCTGTTCCCGAGGACAGGAGCTGGACGTGAGGAAAGTAAGAAAGCAGAGATGGTGGAAATGTGAGGAAGAGGAGGGCCAGTGACGGAGGCCACACGATCCAGGCCGAGGTGGGCTGTGAGGAAGGTTGACCTGGGCAATCAAGAAGGACCCCTCAGTCCCCTGGAAGTAGAGGGAAGAGAAGGTCAAGGGTAAGACAATGAGGAGCAAAATCGAAGAGGCTCAGGTCTTAGAGTTTCAGCTTCTTACCAGGGAAGGAAGGGAGAAGAAGGGCCCAAGTGGGTAGGAACGGAAGTGGAGGAGGGTGGAGGAGTTCTTCCGGCAAAGGATCTATGCAGACAGAAGAGGTCTTGCTTTGACCACTTTGTTGATCCACTCTGAGCGTTGTGGTCAGCAGACCCTACCAAAGGGGAACTGCAAGGTGCTAGAGCCATGGACAGGAATTCAGATAGTCCCAAGAAACCATCCAGGTTCTGCAGGCCCTCTAGTGTCCACAGGGAGGCTGGGACGCCTAGGATGTTCTGAGCTGCCCTGGCACTTTGAATAGACTTAGAGTGGAAGAGGAAGAAGAGCATCCCCAGTCCCTGCAGGAGAAGTACGGGAGAGGGGTGTTTGATAGAAACCTGGGCCTAAGGCCTGTGCTTCTAGCTCCCTGGAGAGCCACCTGATCCTCACCCAAGCACAGAAGTATCTTAGCGATTCCGCAGGGCTGTCCCCACATGACCACAAACACACCAGGTACACCGAAGCCTCCACCTTCACCACAGCAAAACAGGAAAAAAAGCAGTGAAAGCACCATGTTGACCAGTCAGTTGAACCAGAGTCCAGAGTCCCTCAGCACAAGTGAGGGGACAGCCCTTCTGGACCTGCCGTCTACCCTCCGTGGCTGTCACTGTCCCCCTGCCCCGGCCACACTGAGACCCTCTTCTCTGAGCATGTCTCTGTCCTTTGCTTTAGGTGGTCCCACATCCTTAGGGTGACTGAACTAGAAAGACCATTCTTCTGGTGTAGCAGACTGGGCTGGAGGATCAGGGTAACCTGGCCAGGGTCACACCACAGACCTGGCGGGCTTGAGGCCAGGCCTGTCCTCAGTCCCTCTGTAGCAGCCCCAGACTCACAACAGCTGGCCCCTCTCCCACACTGCTGCACACCTGGGTGGTAGGTGGACCTCAGGTGCCCTAGGACTCTCCTGGTCCCTTCCTCCTGCTCACTCCCGGCCCAGCCCCTCGTGTGGATTGGCCCTCCATCCAGTGCAGGAAGAGGGAAGCCCCTGGGGGACATTATAGGGAGACACAGGCTGAGACATCTCCCATGGAACCAGACTCAACTTCCAAACCACCACATTGGCCCAAGCCACACATGTGCTTGTGAGACACTGCAGGTAGTTAGGTACAAGGATCCTAACACCAAAAATGATGTCCCCCAACTTCCTGTGTTGGGTTCAAAGCCATGGAATGTCTCCCCCTAAGATTCACTAAGTATACTTGGCCTTTGCTACGAAACCCATTGGAATCTCAGCAGGAAACTGGATGGGCAGTGAAAGCCACCCACCTGGAATGCACGGGACATTTGATTCTCCCTGGCCTGGCCTTCCTATTCCCTGGGCTTCTATCTTCGACATGTGTGGCTCTCAGGCCCTCCATCACGCTCTGTTCTTAGATGAGAGTTTCCTTAGGTGAACACCAGCAACAGTTCTCACAGGTCACATGGGCACACCACCCACACAGAATCAAAAAGCCACTAGAGACACAGAAAGACGAGCCAGCGTGGTGATGAAGACCCGTAACCCGAGTCCTGGGAGGCTGAGGCAGGAGGATTGCCGCAAGTTTGAAGCCAGCCTGGACTACATAGTGAGGCCTTATCTCAAAAAATCAACCAGAAAAAAAAAAGATACAGTAAGATAGGACACACAGCAAACCCATGAACTCATAGGGAAATCAGGGCGCCAAAACACTTACTGGTCTCCCGCTCAGAAAGCACAGTCCTCAGAGTTTCCAGGGACATCCAAGGTCTCGTTGACTAATGTGTCCATTGCGCAGATGAAGCCAGATTCCAGAGCCACCAGTGACTCACTGCAGCAACCTCGGCTCCGCACCTCCGGTTCTCCTATCCAGACAGGCCCCTTTGGCCGGATGCTGGCCAGAAGAGGGAGGCTTCTCACGAGGCACTTGGACCCCAGGCCTCCGCCTTCACCTCCAGTCACCAGGTTCTCCAAGCTCTGCGCAGCAGGTGTGCGTGAGACTCGGCCCTCTCGGTCCCATTGCCACACACGTACAGGATTCTGAGAATATAAATGCTGAGCAAGAGGGTAAACCAAGAGATAAGATGAGCAGATTTCTACAGAAGTGCTAAGCAAGCTGGAAAATACTCTCAAGGGCACAGGACAGCGGGGAAAAATATTCTCAGGGTTGTGGGAAAGATCTCACAAGAAATTCAGTCAGTACCTTCAGGTCATGAACCTGACCTAGAGAGGAGAAATGCGGCCAAACTGTACAGTCCACCCGGCTCCCTGGGCACGGAGCTTTCCCAGGCCCCTGCCACTCCCAAGCCCCCAGGCCAGTCACCCCAACGTTGGGCCACCTGAGGGTCACTTCACATGTGACAGCATTAGCTCGAGGAGGAGCCTGGGAAAATAAATGGGATTCAGAACATTTGCTTTATTTTCACTTCTTTCAACAGCTGGTGGACGGCATGAAGTTTGGAAGAAGAGAGGAGGAGCTATTCATTTTCCTTAGAAAGATTTAAAAGGTTGCATTAGCCGTGCATGGTGGCTGATTCCCAGCCCTCTGAAGGCCGAGGTAGGATGATGGTGAGTTTGAGGCCAGAGCTACAGAGACCCTAACTCAAAATGAAACAACACAACACCACATTGGTCAGCCCTGGCTGCTATAACAAAGTGCCACAGACTGGTGACTTAAATGACAGGCCTGCCCAGACAAGTTGTCCTCGGGCCTGGTTCCTCCGGAGGCCCCTCTCGCTGTCTGTTCCATGGCCGTCTTCCTCCGTGACTGTCTGTGTTGATTCTTCCTCATCTAAGTCCAGTGGGCTTAAGGTCCACACTAGTGACCGAGCTTTAACTCTCTCCCTTCTTCAAAAGCCCTGTCTCCAAATAGTCATGTTCTTTTTCTTTTTTTGGTACCAGGAATTGAACTCGGGACCTTGCGCTTGCCAGGCAGGTGCT